GAGGAGACGGCCGGGGAGGAACCGACGGAGGGTCAGGGGACGGAAGGCCGAGCAGGCGAAGGGCTGACACCGGCGGGGACTGCTACTGCGGCGGCACAACGGCGACACCGGGACCGCAAGCTGCTCCTCGGCTACCACCGGCACTCTCCACACCAGCACCCTCAGAGGGACCACCCCCAGGGCTACCGGGACGAGCACCCCCAGAGTCAGCGAACGGGTGCTGCGACGGCGGCGGCAGTGGCGGCAGTGGCGGCGGCGGCAGCGACAACGACGGCTGCAGAGGCGGCAGAGGCGGTGGAGGAGGGGACTGGGGAGGGGACACCGGGGGAGGGGCAGCCGGGGAGGACTACACAGGAGGGCCACCAGAGTCAGAAGACTCCTCAACCGGGTCCACCGACGGAAGGGGGGTGACGTGTGACACACCAGAGGGGGTGGGACGGGGAGGAGGAGGAGGAGGGGCAGGGACTACCGGGGAAGGGGTGGCCAGGAACAGGGGGGGGGTAACCGGGGGACCACGGTGGGGGAAGCGACGGTAGTAGGGGACGGACTCGTCAAAGGTGACGTCACGAGAGTGAAAGAAGCGGTGAGACGGCGGGTGGTAAAAGTGCCAGTCGGACGCGTCAAGGGGAAAACCGAGGAAGACGCAGGGAAGAGTGCGGGCGGTGAGCTTGTCCGTGCCGGAGGCACGAACGTGAGCAAGGCAGCCCCAGACGTGGAACGCAGACGCGTCACCAGGAGACCCAGTCCAAAGACGGGTCGGCGAAACCTGCGGCTGCTGAGGGTGCGGCCACAAGTTAAGCTGGTGAGAAGCGTAGCGCACAGCGAACGGCCACAGAAAATGGGGTGCACCGGCATGGATCATGGAGGTGCGAGCCACCTCCATGACCAAACCGATGCGTCGCTCAGCGACCCCATTCTGCTGTGGGGAGTCCGGTAGGGTAAACGTCTGGGTGATGCCCTCCGCACGACAAAAGCGACCAAGGACACCTGAGGCAAACTCGCCACCACGGTCTGAGTGAAGACGCAAGACAGGGAGACCGTGGTGGACACGCGCAGAGACAAGCCAGGGGATGAGAGCGCCAGGCACGTCGGCCTTGCGCTCCAGGGGAAAGACTGTGGTGTAACGAGTGAAGTCGTCGACGAGCACAAGGAAGTAGCGCTCTCGACGCGGCCCATGGACGGGGGCGGGGCCCCAGACGTCCATGTGCAGGGTCTGCAGCGGCGCGGCGGTAGGGGGAAACGAGGAGGAGTGAGGGGCACGGCGAAGCCGACTCTCGACGCAGGGCGTGCAAGGTGGGGCTGGGGAGGAGGGAAACGCGGGGAGAGAACCTGGGAGACCAAGGACAAGACCGTGCTGGGACATGTGACGCAGACGCGGGAGCGCAGGGTGACCTAGGCGGTGGTGCCAAAGGAGGGTCGGGTGAGTGAGGGACCGACAGGAGCAGGCAGCAGCAACCGGGGTGAGCGCTCCAGCCGGGGGGGTCACGGTGTCCAGAGTGAACAGGCCGGACACCGGGTCCCGGGGGAACGTGGACAGGGGGGCACCAGTGGCGGCCTCGGTACAGACAGCATACCGCTCGTGACCAGGGAACGTAGTGGTGACGCCAAGGTCCTGGAGGCAGCCGACACCAACTAGGTTCCTGGAGAACGAGGGGATATGCAGACCTGTAAGAGAGCCCGAAGGAACCGCCGGACAGGGAAGGGTGGTGGAACTGCGGGCGACTACCGGACCGCCGGAGGGGTCAGCAAGAGAAACGGCAGCAGGAACAGGAAGCGGCGTCAGGGTGGTGGAGTCGCGGAAGAAACACCGAGAAGCGCCAGAGTCCAAGGTGAAGGAAAGCGAAGCAGAGGCGTCTGGCGACGGAACGACGGCGGAAGCACCAAGACTACACAAAGCAGAGGATCCTACGCCTGACCCAGCAGGGGAGGCTACACTAGGCACACCTACACTAGGCAACAGTGAGTAATAAGCTGGAAGCACACTAGAGTCATCAGCATACATCACATGCAGAGCAGAAACAATGGCATCCATGTCCAGGTCAAAAATCGGAATACTACGTCTAAGCATGCTGTGCCAGTCCGGGAGGTCTGGCGACGGGCCGAAGCGCTGACGAAAGAGGTCGTCCAGGCGACGAAAACAGCGGGGAGTGGAGTGACCGATCTTACCGCAAACGAAGCCGCGGCGAGGACCGGTCTGGATCTGGTACTGACAGCGCCCGCCGCCAGAGCTACCACTCGACACACCACCACGCGTCCGGCCACCGCCAGCGCCGGGCCACCCGGGCGGGAGGACACTCGTCTGCCGCGTCTGCGACGGCTGCTGCGAAGGCTGCGACTGCGGCGGCTGCTGCGGCTGCTGCAACTGCAGGGGCGGCGGCTCAGCTGGACTGGGCAGGGTCCCCTCGTCCGCTCCAGCACCAGACGACCCGACCCCACCACTACCCCCTCCCGCACCCCCGCCGCCGCCTCCGCCGCGCCCAACCTTGGGGCGGCGGCCCTTCCCCGAACGAAACTGCGCGGCAGCAGCAGTCTTAGCCACTGCGACAGAGCCGTCGGAGAAGGTACACTGAGCGGGGGCACAACCCTGAAAGATAGGGACCGGCACGACACCGCTCGCCTGGGCGATGGAGCGGTGACGGGTCTCTATCACAGTCAGGGTGTCTACAAAGTCAGTGAGGGTGAGGTCAGCGGGGTGAATGCTAAGGAAGCGGTCGCGGGCGACAGCAAGGCGGTCAGGGAGGCGGGTGGCAAGCAGGTAGAGGGTAGAGGTAATGGGCGGCTGGTGGGCTCTAAGCTGTGCGTCAGTGCAGGCGGCGCGCCAGGTCTCCTCTATCGAGCGCAGGTGGGCAGCGAGGTCAGAGACAGTGGGGAAAGAGGCAAGGTCAGGAAAGAGCATCGGGAGGATCAGGCGACCCACCGAGGCAGCCGGAGGGGTGGAATAGCGCTTGATGACAGCATCTAAGTATGCCTGAGCAGTAGTGAGGGACCTAAAGCGAGGATGCTCGGACGGGGGGAGGGCGTTGCTAATGGCAAGCTGGGCGACAGCATCGCGAGAAAGCCAGACAGAGCGCGCACGGGCAGTGGCAGCAGTAGACTCACGCTCAGTGGGTGTGGGGTCAGCGGGCAGAATAGCAGGGGGGTCTGGGCAGGGGAGCGTACCGTCAAGGTGTGCGGAAAGTGGTTCACCATCCTGCCGCTGGCCAGTGAGTTGGCGGCGGAGGTCGGCAAGCCACGCCTCGAACTCTAGGGGCTGACCTTCAGCGTCGAAGCGAAGCTTCCGCGCCATCAGGAACAGTCCAGTGCGGTGCAGGGCAGTGCAGCTAGGTGCAGTGCGGTACAGTGCGGTATAGTGCGGTGCAGTGCGGTATAGTGCGGTGCAGTGCGGTACAGTGCGGTGTAGTGCAGTGCAGTGCGGTAGTGCGGTGCAGTGCGGTACAGTGCGGTGCAGTGCGATGCAGTGCGGTGCAGTGCGGTGTAGTGCGGTGCCAGGTAGTACAGTGTGATGCGAGGCGGCACGGAGCAGGGCGGGGTGGGGGGGGGAACCGTACCAGTGAGGAGGACGGGGCCGGAGCTGGCCCGACGGGGCCGGGCGGGCGCGACGGGGCCGGGCTGGTGCGACAGGGCCGGGACGGGGCGACGGGGCCGAGCGGGCGCGACGGGGCCGGGCTGGGGCGACGGGGCCGGGCGGGTGCGGCAGGGCCGGGCCGGTGCGACGGGGCCGGGCGAGCGGGACGGCGGCCGGGCTGGTGCGACGGGGCCGGGCGGCTGCGACGGGGCCGGGCAGGGTGCGACGGGGCCGGGCGGGTGCGACGGGGCCGGGCGGCTGCGACAGGGCCAGGCAGGGTGCGACGGGGCCAGGCGGCTGCGACGGGGCCGGGCGGGCGCGACGGGGCCGGGCGGGCGCGACGGGGCCGGGCGGCTGCGACGGGGTCGGGCAGGGGCGACGGGACCAGGGGGGGGGTACGACTCGGCCCAGGAGGGGCGCTACGGGGCCCAGGAGGGGCACGACGGGGGCCCAGGAGGGGCGCTACAGGGGCCCAGGAGGGGCGCAACGGGGCCCAGGAAGGGCGCTACGAAGCCCAGGAGGGGCGCGATGAGGCCCAGGAGGGGCGCTAAGGGGCCTTGGAGGGGCGCGACGGGGCCTGGGAGGGGCGCGACGGGGCCCAGGAGGGGCGCTACAGGGCCCAGGGAGGGCGCGACGGGGCCCAGGAGGGGCGCTACGGGGCCCAGGAGGGGCGCGACGGGGCCCAGTAGGGACGCTACGGAGCCTGGGAGGGGCGCGACGGGGCCTGGGAGGACCGCGGCGAGGCCCAGGAGGGGCGCTACGGGGCCCAGGAGGGGCGCTACGTGGCCTGGGAGGAGCGCGACGGGGCCTGGGAGGGGCGCTACGGGGCCCAGGAGGGGCGCGACTGGGCCCAGTAGGGGCGCTACGGAGCCTGGGAGGGGCGCGACGGGGCCTGGGAGGAGCGCGACGAGGCCCAGGAGGGGCGCTACGGGGCCCAGGAGGGGCGCTACGGGGCCTGGGAGGAGCGCGACGGGGCCTGGGAGGGGCGCTACGGGGCCCAGGAGGGGCGCGACGTGGCCCAGTAGGGGCGCTACGGAGCCTGGGAGGAGCGCGACGAGGCCCAGGAGGGGCGCTACGGGGCCCAGGAGGGCCGCTAGGGGGGCCTGGGAGGGGCGCGACGGGGCCTGGGAGGGGCGCTACGAAGCCCAGGAGGGGCGCCAGGGGGTCTGGGAGGGGCGCGACAGGGCCCAGTGAGGGGTGAGCGGAAGCGATAGGTGGGGGGGGGGGGGGGGATCCTACCTACGCGTGATACCATATCAAACTTGAAAATTGAATCATAGATAGAGTGAGAGTACACAAAGATATACCGAAGTGTTGTACTCTCTAAGAGGCGACCCTATACAGTCTATACAAACATGACAAATACACATGTTTGACACAGGGTTGCATGTTCCAGAACACCGAGAAATCAGGGAAGCCAAAATTTCAACACAAGGCCCTCAGGGTAATTTTATTTTCCCATTCGACAGCTCAGGAAGCTTTTTTTTGAAACGTCAGCCCTGGTTGCAACCTGCTGGTCGGGCTTTAAGTTCACGAGCTGTACGGAGCACACAGCAAATGCCAATGTTGGTTGCATTGTTCACGTACTTGTGTGGAACCTCCACGATACATTTTTTCTATGACATGGGACCCAAGAATGACTGGAGCTATCCAGAAAATGGATGCATGGTCAGCAGCTGCTACCGCATCTGCACTTGACTGCCCTCTGACCCCGCAAGGATTTCATTGCGAAAAAAATGGCATGGCATGGCAGGACAGTGCAGTGTACCACCCGAGACTGCTGATAAACGGCACAGTAAGCCAAGCCAAAGCCAACAGCATACGGTGCAGCAAGGATGCCCGAAACTGAGGGATTGAAGCAGCATCGCTGGCTGCAAGGGATGATAACACCTAGCAGCTGGGAAAAAGGGCTGATGATAGTGGTCGGATGGCAGGACAGGAAGACAGTACGTAGAGGGAGAGCGCAAGGGGAGTGCGTGGGGGCGGCGGTGAGGGAGGGTGGCAGGTAGATGGATGTATGTAGATGAAAGAAGAAGGAACAGGAGAGGAGATAAAGCAGGAATGGTAGAGGGGGAGAGAGAATAAGCGCACCGGAGAAACATGAGGGTTTTGAGCGTGTTCTTGGGGGTGAGGCAGGTGTGGGCGAGAGGGCATGGAGGCGAGGCGAGGGGTCAGCGCAGCTTGTGGGAGGCGATGAGCGTTTTGAGCACGTTGTTGGGGGTGAGGCACGTGTGCGGCAGGGGCTGCCCCGTGGAGGGTGAGAGCGTGCAGGTGGCCATCCAGTGCTCGATGTGCTCGCGCTCGTACGTGAAGCCGTCCCCCGCCACCACGGGGTCGCGCATCACCTCCTGCCCATGGCAAGGCGCGTGGGAGACACGGGCAGCAAAGAGCGACGGTCAGATGATGGGCGAGCTGAGTGCAGGTGAGAGTGAGACAGAGGTGCTTGTGTGCATGCCATGGAAACGGTTGGGCATGCGTGTGCGTGTGCATGTGCGTGTGGCACAGGCGTGCATGGAGCAGAGCAGAGAGGGCGCACCTTGGAGAGGGGGCAGATGAACTGCGAGTCGGAGTGTTTCTTCCGCTGCTTCACCTCCTCCTCCGCCGCCGCCGCCAGGCGCACCAGCGCCGGCTGCACATCCTTCTTCAGGCTCGGCCGCTTCTCCCGCCGCCGGTCCGCGCACCGCACCGCCAGCCCCGCCGCCTCCTCCGCCAGGTCCATGCGCCACTCGCCCCCTGTGCTCTCCAGGTACTTCACCACCACGCCCACCGCCCCCGCTGGAGCGCCCCCCGGCCCCGGCTCGGCCGCGCTGCCCTTCTTGGCAGCCTTGGTGCACTCGGCCAGCATGCGGTGGACGGCCTTGACGTTCTTCTGCCCCGTGAGCAGCTGCAGCAGGATGAGCCCCAAGGCATACACGTCGGACAGCACACTGATCTCACACGTCTCCACCTCCTCGGGGTCGATGTACCCCAGCGTGCCGCGCACCTTCATGGTGGTTGACCCGTCCGCCTCCAGCAGGCGTGCCAGCCCCACGTCGCCGATCTTGCTGCTCAAGTTGCCGTCCAGCAGGATGTTGTCGGGCTTGAGGTCGCGGTGCACGATGGGCGGGTCGTTGCGGTGCAGGTACATGAGCGCCGTCGCCATCTCCGACGCTATTCTCAGCCGGTCCGACCACGACAGGCGCACCGCGTCCGCTGTCTTGGGCGGGCCGAGCTTGTCCTGCAGTGTGCCGCCCGGGAGGAACTCGTAGACGAGCGCCATCTCCTCGACACAGCAGCCCATGAGCAGCACGATGTTGGGGTGGCGCATGCGGCTCAGCACCTCCACCTCCACCCGGAACTCATCGGGCCCCTGCCAGCCCTGCCCCTCAAGGCGCTTGACGGCCACCTTGCAGCCCAGCATCTCGCCCTTGAACACCTGCCCGAACGACCCCCTGCCCAGCAGGTTCTCCTCCGCGTAGTTGCCCGTGGCGCGCGCCAGCTGCGCCGCTGTGAACTGCCGACAGTCGTACCCGTCGCCGCCCCCCCCACCGCCCGAGCCCGGGGTGAGCTGGCCGGAGGAGAAGGCGGAGCGGCCGAAGGATGAGGCGGAGGGGGCGAGCGAGGCGGCAGGGCCCTGCGAGTACGCGGAGAGGGCGGGCGGCTGAGACAGGTGGTGGAAGCGCGAGCCACGCGTGGACGAGGAGGAGGAGGAGGAGGCGGGGTTGGGGCGGCCGTAGGAGGAGCTGGTGGGGTCCAGGGCGAGCAGCCCCATGTTGCCGCTGCTGCTGCCCGCACCCACACTCCCTCCCCCGCTCATTGCCCCCATACCCCCGCCCACGCCCTCCCCTATGCTCCCCTGCATGCTGCCCTGCCTGCTCCCATGCCTGCTGCCCCCCCCGCTGCTCCCCCCTGGGCTGCGTGCGCTGCCCCTCAGGCTGCTGCTGCCGGGCAGTGGACTCGTGGCCGCCGGGGACAGCGCAGGGGGCGGCTGAGAGAGCAGGGAACGATAAGACATGGAGGGGCGAGAGGAGAGGGGGGCGAGGGCGGGAAAGCGGGCAGGAAGGTTTGAATGTTACAGACTGGAGGAAGGCAGTGGCATGGGGATGCAGGCAGCAAGACCTGCAATGTCCAAAGCACACTGATGATCAGGCATGGAGCAACCATCGCCCCATGCACCCACGCACGCCCCCACCCATGCATGCACCGCCCACATCTGCCCTTCTGGCCCCCCGGCGTCCCCAGCCCCACCCTCACCTCTCTGCTGTCGTCCGCCCCCGCTGCCTCCGCGTCCGCCTCCCGGTTGCTGCTCACGCCCTTGCTCACCCACGCCGCGCCATCACCCCCCTCCCCCGCGCCTTCCCCCGTCCCCCCCTCGTCCTCCGCCTCCAGCATCGCCAGCTCATCCGCCAGCAGCGACCGCCCCCGGGGCCCGCCCCCTTCCGCTTCCCCTTCCTCTTCCCCTGCGTCCCATTCCCCCTGCGCCCCTCCCCCCTCCCGCCTGTCCGCCTCGCCCTCCTCCGGAATCCCCTCTGGCAGCCCCACCCGCTCCGCACTGCGCTTCCGCACCGCATGCCCGCGCCCCCATCGCCCCTCCTCGCCGCCTCCCCCCATCGCCGCGCCCCCTGCGGGCGCGGGCGTGGCGGAGGGCGAGCTGGTGGCGCTCAGGCTGAGCCCCATGCCAGGGCCCCGCCCCGCCCCCCACAGCGGTGTACCTCCCTCCCCCGCGCCCCCTGCTGCCGCGTCCCTGGCGCCCCCTGCAACGCCGGGGGAGAGGTGGCGCGCTGAGGCGGGCAGGGGCTGCGCGCCACCGGCCTGGGGGGTTGGGGGAGGTGGGGGGAGAGAGAGGAGGGGGATGGGGAAGGAGGGGGAATGGAGGAGAATGAGCAGTCATGGAGAATGCACGCGCGGTGAGGTGCACCAGTGCCACTTGCACCCTCACCCCCACACTCCCTCACCTCCCTCACTCCCTCACCTCCCTCACACCCTAACCCCCCACACTCCTCTCCCCCCACACTCCTCTCCTCCCCACACTCCTCTTCCCCCCACACTCCTCTCCCCCCACACTCCTCTTCCCCCCACACTCCTCTCCTCCCCACACTCCTCTTCCCCCCACACTCCTCTCCCCCCACACTCCTCTTCCCCCCACACTCCTCTCCCCCCCAACTCTCCTGTACCCCCCACAATCCTTTCCCCCCCACTCTCCTTCCCCCCCCCACTCCTTTCCCCCCCACAATCCTTTCCCCCCCACTCTCCTTCCCCCCCCACTCCTTTCCCCCCCACACTCCTTCCCCCCCACACTCCTTTCCCCCCCACTCTCCTCTCCCCCACTCTCCTCTCCCCCCACTCTCATCTCCCCCCCCCCACTCTCCTCCCCCCCCCCCACTACCCGCGCTCACTTCGGACACGCGTCTCGCCATCTGCTGCAGCTCTTCCATCGTCGAAAACGACAGGCGGGACGGCCTCCCCCCGTCCCCTCCCGCTGCCGCACGCCTTTGCTCCGCTCCCCCGCCGCCTGCTTCCTGCCCCCATGGGTCCCTTCCCCCCGCCTCTCCGCCCGATGCAGCAGGGGCGGGCGCGGGCGCAGGGGCAGGTGCGGCGAGGGGGAGGGAGCGGGAGTGGGGGCCGGAGGAGGAGGAGGAGAGGGAGAACTCGGACGACGGCGCGCCGCTGCTGCCCAAGGGGGACGCGGACGGGTCCAACGGCGGGTCGGACGGCCGCCGCACGTGCAGGGGGGGCGCAGGGGCAGGAGGCTTGAGCGAGGATGGGGAGGCGGGGGGAAGGGCGGGGGGCGCGAGGCGGGCGGTGAGGGCGTCATGCGCAGAGGGCGCGGAGTGGAACTGCAGGAACACGGACGGCTGCGCCGACAGGTCCGTGCGCTGCGCGCCCTGCAGCTGCTGGTGCTTGTGGCCGCGCCCGCCCTGCGAGACGAAGAGCGCGCACGTGCGCGGGAGCGACGTCTGGCACGCCGCGAGAATGGCGGACGACGACCAGCCGAGCAGCTTCCTGGGGAAGCGGGGACAAAGGGGGGGGGGGGGGGGAGAGGGGAGAGGCGCGGAGAGACGAGGAGCGGGCGAGGGGAGAAGGTAAACGAGGTGGCGCTCAAGGCACAGAGCGTCGCGCGCCCATGGAGGAGCCGGCCCGATCACACCCCGCCCCCGCACCCGCAAGCCCCACCCCACCCCGCCGTGCCCTGGACGTCGCGCGCGCACCTCTTGACGCCCACGTAGACGCGTTCGGCGTTGGCTCGGCGCGCGGCGAGGCAGAGCCCCATGTCGCGGCGGTCGTTGAGCTCCACCACCGTGCCGCACTCCACCTGCCCGCCGCCACGCACCGCGGCGCACGCGCGCGGAGAGGGGGAGCGGAGTAGAGAGCAGGAGTGAGAACAACGGCGGAAAGGGAGGATGATGGGCGAAAGGAAAGTAGCCGAAGCAGCCGGCAAGCAGCAATTGACGGGGTAGGCGTGGGGCCCGACATCACCTGGCTGGTCTTGGCGACGGCGAGCAGCGGCTTCATGAGGATGTCGACGAGCTTCTTCGCGTGCTGCAGCGCCGTCTTCGGATCCACCTCGCTCGCCGGCAATGTCATGTTGCCTGCGGGATGGGCATGGGGGAGCGGCGCCGTGCGACAATGCGAGTTCAGACTCCACGGCCATGGCAGGAAGTGAGGCGCACCCGAGGAAGGCGGCGTGAACAGTGCATGCGCGGGAATAGCGAATGTGCGGGATGTGCGGGATGTGTGTACAAGCATAGGGAAGTGAAGCACTCGAGTGGGCTACGACCCTCTAAGAGTGCTGGCGGCAGGCAGAGGGCAGCAGCGGGACGCACGCGAGGTGGGGACTTCCGACATGACATGCACGAGCACGATGCTCGCCGTGCGCCCCCCCATGTGCTCCAACGCCAGCTCCAGCGCCTCGCGACTCAAGTCGCGATGCCGCGTCACCTCCACGATCCACGTAGGCACCCCCGCTGCCGCCTGAGACCCCGGCATTGCCGTCCAGCGCAGGATTCGGCGGAAACCCTAATTTGAGTAAAAGGCCCTTTAATAGGTTGGACCCGCTAGAGTCAGCCAGACACCACAGCTAATCTGAGAAGCGAAGAACAACTCGAAGGCAGGCAGCGGCTAGCGAAGCACAACCCGGCAACTAACTGGAGCTCGCCGCTCCTCTCGACCTCGTCTCCATCGCGCTCCTCTGCCAGCGCACAGGCGAGCCCTCACCAGCTCCGTCGCGCAATGCCCTACCGCGTGCACCTACTACCGCAACACAAGCCCTGCCATCCTCTTATCATTCGCCGGGCTGTCGCCATCCTCCATAATATCTTCCGGGCTGCTCCAGCTAAAGCCTTAGCTTTCTACGGGGCTGGAAATGATCAGATCCGCCGTGCCAGCAGGCGTGGGCTCCGAAATACTCAAGGTAGCAGCGGGAGAGCAGAGAGCACAGATTGCAGAGAGCTGGAGCCGGGCTGGTTTTGTTGTGTGGGGTGGGTTGTTTGTGCCGCGCTCCTGCTGATGCCTCTCTCGGGGGGTTGATTGGGAGCGCACAGGGGAGTGCGGGCAAAAAAACTTTTGCAAAGCGCACACCTCAAGCTGGTTGGTACAGTTTCGAAATACGGTACAGGACAGTTGCGAGGATATTCCTAGAGTGACCTGCAATTCGCTCGTAATTCAAGGGGCACCTTCTGCACTGATTTATTGTGTACTGTAGGAGCACCAAAAACCCGGGGACTTCAATTCAAGTTCCCCTTCATTTGATTTCAGTCCGTATGCGCAACCACCAGCATTTCATGTCCATCTGTGGATACAGTACGGTGCCTTCAGTCCCTGCAGTGAGCACAAAATCGAATCATGACACTGTAGCCTCGTGAGCTAGGACCTTGTGTTGTGTGGTGGGGTGGGTGGGGGGTGGGTGATGGTGTTCTCGAATTATCCGAACGGAGACACCAAACGTCTTTCGAGACCATTGAGCCAATCAGCTCTCAACATGCGTAACACAAATCTCAGGATGGCTAGGATGTAAAGAATTTCCTTCTCCTTAGTGGGCTCGACTACAGCGCGTATGCCCTCAAATCTCGGAAGTCCAAGCTCGGCCAAACTTCTTCGGTCCCGAACCACTTCGCGAACCCAAACCTCGACGTGTGGCGCTTCCGTAGCCTTCGCTAACCGAACCGCACCAACCTGTTCGCGTGGTTCTCGGCTAGCCCTGTTCGTGCCTATAAATGCCTAGGCCCTCATTTGTATCTACACTCTTGTATCACGTTCCTTTTATTACACTACCCGTTATTACTCTGATAAATTCATAACAGCTGGTATCGTAGCTCCGTTCCTGCCCGCTTAGTCTTCCGCAGAGTAATCCGTTTATATCGGGAGAGGACACGACAGAATAGGGGGTTGGCCAGCGGTTGGTAGGTGGGCTCATTAAAGCACCTCCAACTAGAAGCGTGTGCACCCTCAAATCTGTCAGATAAGATTACGCCGGAAACGTCTGCCAGTCGTTGTGTTAGGAATATGTCTCAGGAGGAGTCTGACGAGTTGCAAGCTAGGACGGCTACAGTGACGACACTGCAGGCCCAAGTTCAACAACTTGCTGCGAAGTTCGAAACGCTGGGAAGCAAACTGCAGACACTGCACGACGAGAACTCGTCACTTCACCAGGCGCTTGGTGAAATGCGCCAGGGGCAGCCTGTTACCTATGACAAAGATGCTGCGAGCAAAGCGAGGGCGTCCGTGATGCCTGAAGCAGTTGAAAAAAAACACAGTGAGCCGAGGGCAGCCATCAGAATCAAACCACCCATCTCTTTGCTGCTCAACCCGATTGACAAGTCGACTACAGTGAGCGGGTGGCTGTTCGCCATGGAAATCTTCTTTATGGCAGCAAGTTTTAATGACACTGCTTCACGTGTCAATTTGGCTTTGTCGCTACTGAGAGGGCCGACACTCGACTGGTGGTGTATGCATCTTGACGAGAGAGGGGCCCCGGCAGGAAATCAACGGGCGGTAGCTGGGGAGCAAGATTCCTCAACGACACAGATAGAACCAACCTTTGGATTGGCCACGATTCGTATGTGGAAAGCGTGGAGCGAAACATTGAAGAGCTGTTTCGAGCACATATCCATGCGCGAAAATGCTCGCACAAGGCTTCGGATGTGGTGTCAGTTGGGAGCTGTCCAAGAATACACAGCGCCGTTTCTGTCGCTATGTGATCAAATCGGAGGCATCAGCGAAGACAAAAAAAATCGATCGCTACAGTATGTGGATGGTCTCAAGCCAGAGATTCAGCAAGAGATCTTCCTACGAGCCTCGACGACCTTCAACAAAATTGTTCGCATCGCAGATGCGTTGGGTTTCCGGGAGGAGACAATTTTCGAGGCCAGCACCAGCACCCATCCATCAACGATGTGGATGCATTCGCAGCCCGGGTTTTTACCAGTCGCTGTTTTCACTGCAAACAGCCAAATCACATGGCAAGGGACTGCCCAAAGCTGACAAAGAACTTAGCTAATGACGGGAAGTAGTCGGGAAATGCCAACAATCAATAGCTGATTGACCCAACACTTGATTGTGTTGCCCAAATACCACCACCTCCACCAGGTTATAGTGCTGATTTGGGCTATCGACCATTCTTGGCTGCATAAGGGGGGTGAACCGGTTGATCACTTTGTGCTGGTCGAAGGGAGAATTGGCGACACCCGAATCAAAACATTCGTTGATGGCGGGGCGAGCCACATTTTGATAGATGCGACGAAGGTGAAGAAGCTTTGTCGGCAGCTAGAACGTTGCATGTCCGAGATTGGCGCGAGATTGGTTGACGGCACCCTACTGGCGATTTGTGATCGCGTGCCTTACGTGCGAATCATATGTGGCGAAAACTTCATTTTTAAAACCAAGATGCTGGCGACGACACTGGATGGTTGCGACATGCTACTGGGGCGCGATTGGCTATGCGAATATAATCCGAGCATCGATTGGCTGACGACCGACTGTCGAATCAAATGGAGTGCCGAGTGGCGACGACTTCTGAAGTGGAGCAGTCCCGAATCGGCCACGTCGACAGTCCGCGCTGCGATTATCAAGCGGGCAATGATTATAGGGTTGTAGCTGTATGCCGTCCGATGGATCGCATCAATGGTTGTTGAGAACTTGACTGACATTGACAATCTTTGCGCAATTGTCTCCGATGACTTGGGGAAAATTATTCGGAAGCATGCTAATCTTTTTCCGGATGATCTCCCTGCAGGTTTGCCACCTCAGCACCCGCACCACCACAAAATCGAGCTTGAGCCCGGCGCGCAACCAACTGTTCGCACCCAGTAGCGGCTGACTCAGTCGAAGTTGGACGAACTTCGACACCAACTGGACTACCTGTTGGAAAAAGAATTCGTCCGCCTAAGCACGTCCCCGTTCGCTGCCCCGATTCTGTTCACACCGGATAGACGGCGGTTTACGAATGTGTACCGGCTACCGCACCCCGAATAGGGTTACCATCAAGTCTCACTATCCGATCCTGTGTGCCGACGAACTCATCGACCAACTTCGTGGGACCAGCTTTTTCTCCAAGATAGATGTGTGAGGCGGTCACTACCAGATTCGCGTCGACGAAGCTGAATGCTACAAGACGGCATTTCGGACCTGGTACGGTAGCTACGAGTACACAGTTATGCCATTCGGCTTAACGAACGCGCCTTCAACATTCCAGCTGGCCATGAACGAGTTCTTTCGCCCGCTGATGGACAAGTGCTTCATCATGTACCTTAACGACATCCTGGTCTACAGCACTACCCGGGAGCAGTAATTGAAGGATCTAGAAGCCGTTTTTTCTCTACTACAGCAGAATCACCTCATCACCAAAGGCTCTAAGTCCCAGTTTTAAAAACACGAATTGGAGTTTTTGGGGCACGTCATCTCAATTGACGACGTAAAATTTGACCCTAAGAAGATCGCTACGATCTAGGACTGGAAGCCGCCAACTAACCTCCGCAAACTTCAGAATTTTCTACGGTTCTTTAATTACGTCCGCTGGTTCATTACAAACATGGCAGGGGTAACTTCCCATTTGATGGATCTGTTGAAGAAGGGCACATTTTTTGAGTGGGGCAGAGAGCAGCAGGCTGCGTTCTAATAGCTCAAACTTTTCATGACTACACCTCATGTCCTTCAGATTGCGGATCCCCACAGTCCGTTTGAGCTCATCACTGACGCTAGTGATCTTGCTGTTGGCGCTATGCTGTTACAAGACTTCGGCGAAGGCCTACAACATATCGCCTACAAGTCACGGAAGCTGAACCAGGCTGAGCAGAATTATCCTGTCCACGACAAGGAGTTACTCGCCATCGTTCATGCTTTCAAAGTCTAGAGTTGCTACCTGACCGGTGCTGACGTGACACTCCGAACAGACCACAAGTTGCTATAGTTCACCCGCACCCAACCGTCACTAAATTCCCGACAGATTCGCTGGCTCGACTACCTCAAGTCAAACTTCTACTACAGAGTCACATAAAACGAGGGGTTAGCAACAACGATGACGCACTGACCCGCCCCTCGGTCCACACACCCGCTGTCCTAATCACCCAAACTAATCTGCTGCTAATTGACCTATTTACCCATGCTACTATTTACGACCAACAGTCATCCCCAACTTACAGCCATGCAAGGGGCCTATTATCTAAAATCTGGTACCAATCGGATTTGGGTTCCCGCCTACCGTACCCTACGAGAATGACTGATACAGGAGGCACACAAGTTGAATTTCTCAAGTCACTACAGCATTGACAAGACTGCAATTTTTTTAGCCATCATTATTACTGGCCGGACCTATCGACGGACTTGCAGCGGTATGTTACCTCATGTGCCACATGTCAACAGATGAAGTCATCTCGACTTTCACCTGCCGGTTGCTGCAGCTGCTCGAGGCACCGAGCAGACCCTGTCAACAAGTGATGATGGATTTCGTCACATGCCTATCAGCCGACCCAAGCGGTAACGACGCGATACTTGCCCTCGTCGACCGCTTGACGAAAATGGCTCATTTTGCTACCTGCAAAATGACAATTATAGCAGAGCAGACAGCAAAACCGTTCCTCGCGAACATCGTGCATCTACATGGCATTCCATGGGCAATCATCAGCAATCGAGATCCGCACTTCATGCCCAACTTCTGGACAAAAACCTGGCAGCCGTACGTCACACGTCTGCACCACTCCACGGCCTACCATCAGCAATCTGACGGATAGACTAAATGCACCAATCAGACGATGGAGCAATTGGTTCGCACGATATGCACAGACCCGACTCAATGGAAAGATTGCCTTCCCTTGATTGAGTTTGCATACAATAATGCTCCATCTGCCACTACTACCCAGTCACCGTTCTTCCTCAAATCTGGCAACCCCTCTATCGCCACCGATAGAAAAACCAACACCTAGTCCTCAACAGTTCGTAAAA